CTCATACAGTGTGTGGTTTTCTCTCACTGCTTCTTCTATTGTCATTTCCAGTAGCTTTACAACACAAAAAGGTTAAAAATAACCTTTAATAACAAAAATAACCCCCAGTCCCCAACATGTACATGTATTGGGGATTATGGTTATTGAAATATGTATGTCTAAATTTGCTTTATACTAACATGAATAGGCAAATTTGCTTTTTTTTTTGAATAGTTTGACTACTATTATTGAGCTACTGTATTTAAGTGAATTAGTAATTATACTGATTATAATGCTAACCCTGCGAAGAATTTCTTTGACGGAAACATTGTTTGTATTGCTTTGTTGAAGAATGGTTTTGTTATTCTAATAAATAAAGACTGTTTTCAATTTGTCTTTTACCTTTTTGATTTACCCGCATACATTTATAGTTCTGAAAGTTTGATATGTTGTCGTTCATCCATCAAATTGAGCTCTCATTGAACGATGACAGCTCACTTAATAAATGATTATCTAGTCCATTTGTCATCCTACTCAAATCCCACTGACTAATTAACTATGTTGGAGATAAAAATCACAGTGATCCTTTCAGGTCCATTTTATCTGTCAAAACAAGTCTCATCTACATCTGCTTACAAAACCAAACACTGTTTTGTATTCGTGTTTGTCCACCTACTCTGTCTCTCTTTTTTGTCCACGAAATGGTTTTAATTTAGGTGCTTTGCTGGCTTGCGTTTTTGTTTACTAATCACTTATTTACTGTTTTTGACTCTAAAATGACTGTGCATAACCCAACCTAAAGGCAATACTATACACTTGCTATAATATACACTTGACTTGACATGGCTGCTTATATTTGTGAGTCATAAAGCTGTACATTTACCCTGGATGAACATTTTCAATTTTAATTTCATTTCTGATTTTAAAACTGTAAAGCAAAACACAGGCTCGATGAAACAAATGAATTTGAGCTATACAACTAAAATCGATGAATTCTATGCAAAATTGCACGAAATTAATCTAAGAAAATAGTGAGCTATTAAAATTATTTCAGGCTTCTTCAAAATTATAGAAAACGTGTTGTTTCATCGATTTTTTGACTTAAGTACAGCAGCCAATCACATCACGGCAGGGAAAAAACTGTACTACGCTGATGTACTACGCACGCGCAGACTACAAACAGCGGCAGGAGTAGCAGTCGTCCAAGGAGGATCACTACTCTCCTCTAAAGGTACAAAATACAGTTATGGACCAACGGACATAGGCTTCTCAGTGGCCCAAGCTGTAGATCAACCTCCATGCTTTATCCTGTCTTAGTAGACCGTTATAACGATGGCGCTAGTGCCTTTGCTGCATGTCAATGTGGATGTTGTGCTAACCGGCAGAGCTAGCCGATCGTGCTAACAGTATGTAGTGAGTAATACTGCTGTTTCTCTTGAGCTAACGTCAGCTTTTGTTAGCTGACAAAAGCTAACTAAAACCTCGGTTGCGTTCGTATCACTATTCTCACTTCCTTAAGTCCACAAGATATTTCTTCATTTAAAAAACAAAACGAGTATCTCAGCTAGTATACCCCACAAGACCTCACTAAAAGAAGAAACCTGTCGTTAATTGAAAGTCATAGCTAAATTCAGATCTCACCAAATTGGGAAGACTCCTCAAACCAGTAGCGTCTGTTCCGGTTCGTGTCAGGTGAATTCGCTGATTCTTTACGCTCTGTCCCTTGTATACCAGTGTCATCTCAGGAGGAATACTGTCGTTTCAGTTACCGTTATAAAATGCTTTTTGTTTTTATTTTTTTGTCTGAGGAAAGTTTGTTGATCAGCTATTTGATGATCAGTTTATCACATAGTTACTTAAAGCGAATTAAAACATTTTTAAAGCCATTATTTATTTGATCATCAGTATATCACATAGTTACTTAAAGCAGGCGAATTAAAACATTTTTAAAGCCATTAAGGAGAAGTGAACAGGTGGTTAAAGCTGTCCAGCTATGAGACTAGTCAGTTACGGTCACTCTAACTACCCCTTACAAATGATTAAACAGTTTTTTGTGGATCAGCTCTTAGGAGCACATAACCACCAGTAAAGCTGTATAAGCATCAGGTTGACGGGACGGAAGGAAGTGGCGCGTCTTACGGGGAACTTCCTGTTGACTTCGCCATGAGTTACAAACCCATTGCTCCTGCGCCGTCTGGCTCCAACCATACTCCTCCAGGTAATTCAACTGGACACAGTTTCCGTTTTGTTTTAACCCTGGTATTTTAATGTAATTAATCTTTTTTTTCTTTAATAATGACGACTTGGTTATTATTAGAGCAACCAGTCAAACAACCATGGGCAGTACGACAGAAAAAATTTACACACAAGTGACCAAAGTGGCTAGAATAGAGTAGAATAGAATGGGCTTTATTATCAACTGTCCAAATAAGTAAAAAATTAAAACTGTGCAAAGAGGAATAGATAACTTTACAGAGAAAGAATGAGGTCATTGAAAAAAATATTAAAGAAAGTCACTTAAAATTAGTAACTGCAAATGGAAAACTAGACAAAAACAAAAAAAGAAATAAGAAAAAAAAAACCCAACTAATTTTGCATTTATAACAGACATCCAGAGCTACAGAAAGCTCTATAAACAGAAGTACAAAGACAGGGGGTGAGGACTGTTTGATGTGGGTGTCTGTTTGCACTCTATGTGCGTCTGTATGCGAGCGTTTGCTGTTTAAAAGGCCCAGGAGAAGAAACCTTGTTTACGTTGTTTTCCATTATAAAGCATTTTTTAAAAGATTTAACTAAATTTACGTCATCAGAGTTTGCTGTGAAAATTTGTCAGAATAATTTTAGTATTTAATGCTTTATTGTTATTATTTTTATAATTTGCGATAAAATAAATAGCATGTCATTCATTTTTATTTACATCTACTTCCCTGTTATCTAGGCTCCTCTGTGCCCTCTCCATCCCTACCCTCATCATCCAGCTTTAGACCAGCTTTCAGTGACTTTGGCCCACCTTCTATGGGTTTTGTTCAGGTATGGATCGGTGTCTTATACATATTGTAGGAAGAGAAAAATACATTTTTAAGTGGCTAAATCACATTTAGTTGTTAGTGGTTTTAAAACATTAAAAAAATAACATTCTAATTAATTTCCAAAAGCAAAAGGTGTGATGGTACATGTACTTCTTATCCTGTACTGCTTGTAGTACTCATTTCAGGAATGTTGACCCAGTTGAGGGCTCTGAGAATTAATTTACTGACAAGTGGGGTTTACAGTATTCTAGGCAGAGCAACTGTTTGTAAAGCAAACATTTACGTATTTAATTAATAATACCACACACTCATGTACTCAGTGTGTGTAGAAGATGAAGTTCCTCAACTGTATTCTGTTCTGTACAGAGTCAAGGTTGTACTCCTCAATGAAAAGAAATGGTAAATTCTCATTTCTCTATTCATCTGTTCTTTTGACCTGTTTTAATGGCTTTTTTCCCTCCACATATTGCATGGTTGGACCACTGTACAAACAGCCTGTCAAAGTGTCTCAAGGTTCCACCTACAGCGAGCTCCTGTCTGTCATTGAAGAAATGAGTCGTGAGATCAGACCCACATACGCTGGGAGCAAAAGTGCTATGGAGAGACTAAAGAGAGGTGTGTGTCAAAAGAAAAAATGTCTATGACACTGTAGATATTGTGTAACAATTATCCATGTTTTAGTTGTTATTCGTTATTAAGTTCATTTAATTATACAATAAATACCCCCCACACACAGACACACACAATTGTTACATTCTATTGACATGAATTCAAACTGAAATGTGTGCACAACAGCGACTTCACTGAGTCAAGGTCAAATAACATAAGTACAAATGCAGTAATATAATGGTGTTTATTTGCTGGTGTTTTTTTTTCTAACCTGTACAGGAATAATTCACGCCCGTGCACTGGTCAGGGAGTGTCTGGCAGAGACGGAAAGAAGCGCCCGTACATAACCTTTTGAAAAGATCTTTTTATTCTGTGCTGTCACTGTTGAAGCCGACCCTCATCAATGTCCTGTTTTTTATGCTATTATGTTTTGTGTGTTTTCTGTTGCCTTCTATAGGGCACAGCATGTTCTTCTTGTCAACACTGTTCCTCGTCCCACATCAGCTGTTGTGTTGACAAAATTATCTCTGACCTGTGAGATGAAAACAACATGCAGTTTTGTATCTATTTTGAACACTTTTTTATGTAGAAAACCTTGCGAAAATATTTATAGTCAAATTGTTCAGTACCGGAGGTTATTGTCCATAGAGATTCTTATCTTTTAAATGGCCCTTCCAAAAGGCCATGATCCTCAAGTTTCTATTCTGCAACCACTTCACACAAACAGCATTTTGTCTGTTTTTAGTCGAAATCTGAAATATTTCTCAATGTCCATAACTATACTTATCAATTTATTAGTACAGAAATTTTGTAAACCAGATTTTTGCAATTCACTATGTATATCTTAATAAAAATGACAAAACAATAATTGCCTGTTTGCTTTACATATATTGATATAAACACACCCCATTGTTATGTTCAATAGATGTTTTAAAATGCATTATTAACTGCTGTACTGAATATAAGTTTCACCCCGTATTAGTTTTTTTTTGTACTGTATTATTTGTGGTAGATGCCGACGTAACTACGAAACGCCATAGGTTGTGGCCATGGTAAACCGAGGATGCTGTATATAATAATATATATTAGACACATACCACATATATAATAAAAAAAATGAGTCAAATTGTTTAAATCAGCATTGGGATAAACATTTTTTATTTTAAATAACATGATCAAAACCTTAATGACACCTCCACTGGTTTACAGAAAAAGATGCTAAGATGCTGCTGAGCAAACATAATGGAAAGCGAAGCTTTTGAGGAGTGCACATTAAGTGTGGTTGCTATTCAATGCTATTCAACAGCAATTGAAAAATCAATTCAACACATGGGGCAGAAACAGCAAGAAAACAAATCAATTTCATATTTGTGATGATTGTCGCAGCCGACAGGAGACGTTGGCCTCCTGCTTCTTTAGCTGAACAGTGGAAAGTTGTGGTGTACACAAGTACATCATGTTCTCAATGCAGAAAGCTTTTCTCTTAATAATTAGGCTGAATTATACATTATTCAACAGCTTTACATGGTTCAAATGAAGCAATAGAACAGTAAATATTGTATCTACTTATTTTCAATAATGTGGCTAACTGGTGTGTGACATGTATAAACCAATATCTGATGACATACATAAACAGTGATATATTAAAGCATAAAGAATAAGAATTATCACTATAGGAGGTCCTGTGAATGGTGCTGCCAGGGACAGCAGTAACATGACTGTTTGTTTTTTTTACCAGGTATTGTGTTATTTCTGACAGGGTCTGTAAGAACTTCTAATTTAGACTGAAGACCGTGATGCTCTGACCATTAATTCAATCTGATAAATGTGGGGTTTTTTTTCAACAAGAGAGGGAGAGTAAACGCAAGAAAGCAAACTGTCCCATCAATGTTAAGTTATGAGTATATGACTGTATAACCTGATCGCCTGACAACATTTCCACAGAGGACACTGTGGCAGAGATTGGCTTAGGTGTAAGATTTATAATACAAATACACCTGCTATTTATCCTCCCTCCTCAAATTCAAAGAAGTTAACTCATTTTGGATCCACAAAGAGATTCAACCCTAGACGACAGATAAAGAAAGAAAGGAAAATATTTAAGCTTGTAAGTAAAACTGAATATAAGATTTAACCAAACAAACTCAGTCTGGACTTACTGTAGTTGCTGTGGCTGGTGCAGTATTGTAGTTGAACAAGCTCTTGTAGCGACCTTTCTCCTCCTTTTTCTTAGACTCGATCCTCTCCTCCATGGCCCTCAACTCTTTGGCTACAGACGGCCCCAGAGAGGGGTCCAACTCTAGGACCTTGGCAAAGTCAGCCCGGGCCTCTTTCTCATTCCACACAGCAGCATGGGCCTTTGCCCGCTTGTAGTAGGCTTTAACATTGTCTGTTCAAATAGAGAAAACCTGATCAATTGAAACATTTCAGAAACTTTATAAATTACATGGTTCTGTAATAAAACAAGACGTTCGATTTAGTATGCTATTATCTAGGTTACGTTGTTCTTTTTTGTTTTTCAAAATTATTTTGAAAGAAACTAAATGTGAAGAGTGGAGCTGTTCATGTTGTTAGTGGTGATACAATTTAAGAAATGCCTGATATTGATGCCATGCACCTTCCGTACTTTCAGTAATACCTGCTGTCTACAGCGTAGCACTGAGCCAATGTGACTGTGTTGAAATAGTGTGATTAACCGTAACGGCACGACAACAGGCACTCACTGTTTGAGAGCAAAACATCAGAATACATCTTCCACTGGCAAACAGAGCCCCCCACCACATCACTGCTGGATGAAATTTAGGGGCTGTCTGTGGGAACCTCACAATTCAATTACGCCAAGTATATTTTTATATAACGATTATACCAAATTATAAATCAATACTTATTGTTTTAAATGTATTTCAAATACATTTAAAACAACCCTGTTAAATAACAAAATTATTCAAAAGCATTAACTTTAATTGATGCAAATAGAGCAATGAATCCTTCTTATCGTTAGAAGATCTCCACAGTATACGTCATTGTTCATACACTGTTGATTATTGTTGACAGCATCATTTGTAACTCCAACCTCAAATTAGTCCACATGTAGCCTTTGGGGAGAAATCTACTTCATCAGAGTGGAATAATGTATGAAAATAAAAGCAGGTACTTCAAGAACACATTCACACTTATGAAATCCCTGTCGCCACCTACTGACATGATTCACTCAGCACTCTTGGTGATTTTTTTTTTGTCTTGAGTTCAGTTCTCACTGTCAATATTTGTCAGAGGATGTTCCGACCTAGTCATCTGTACTGAATGCTTACCCTCATATTTGAAGAGTAGAGAAGAGCAATACTCTATAACTTCGTAGTACTGGCCCTGGAGCAACATGCACTGGCAGTAGTTGAGGAGCAGCGGTGTGATCATTTTGTCCAGATTTCTCCATATTTCGTCACCAGGGCGCTCCTAAAACAAACATAGACACATGCCTTTTAAAAGGTAAGTAATCAGTCTGTAATAATGCATTTCAGATTTAATCACCACATGTACAACACAATTGACAACACAATAACACTGAGCAACAACAATATGTGAACATAAAATATAAATCATGCTGGATCCAAACCTTCATCTGTAGGTTTTTAAGGCAGGCGATGCCATTGTAGTATTTCTCAGTGGCCTCCTTGATTTGGCCTTGTTTAAATAGTGCATTACCCTCCTCATGGATCTGAGGCACCAACTCCAGTTTCTCTTCATCTGACATAGCCCACAAGTCCAGCTGGAATGAGCCTGGAGAGAAAACCTGCACAGAAAAAATAGCAGACTGTGGATATGCACTACATTGCTGATTGTCTTACTTGTTGTTGCTTTTTTTATACAATATTTGAATATTATACCTTCAGATATTCGAAAGAAAGCTCAACAGGAAAGTAATTAAAGAAAAAGGAAAATATCACAATTGTGGTTCACAATGTGTAATTAATGTTTGTGAGCAATCGTGTACAACAATCCTAAATTTTAAAGCTGGCCAAAATATTTGTGATTACAATTTTTCCCATTACGGAGCAACTTTGGTGAAAATAAAAACATGACTGTGCGGTAACAGAATACCATGAGGACAGAATCATTTATTCTTTCAACTGCCAGCTCACCTCAAGTAGCTCTATGGTAAAGACAAGAGGCTGTGGATTGGCCTGAAGATTGTCTAGGTCCTTGTGTCCCAGAGAATGGTGCGAGTGAATCTGGGCAATTCCACAACAGTGCCGTTGTCCTTCCAGGGGGTCCTTACCAGCACTTATGTTTCTCAAGGACTGCGACATCAGTGGGTACAGAGCTGTGTGCTGAGAGTTTAGGAAAAGATGAAGTGGTTTGCACTGGACGTGAACAAGAATCTAAATAAATCACGTTCAATGTGTCAGACCTTAGTGTCGCAGGTGAACTCTGCGATTTCCCCTCTTCTCATGGTGATGACCACCCTTTCCCACACAGCTAGTTTAAACTTCTTGCCCAAGATGAGCTCCATGGGTTTGCAGCGCCCCCCCATGGTTCTGGAATCATCCAGCACTGTGCCATCGCACAGACTAGTGCGGTAGTGGAAGATCACCTAAAAAACAAAATAACATTAATTTTTTTAAATTAATTTTTGACACACATTAGCATGACAAGATAAAATGTTACTTATTTCCCAGGCTTTTACCATATATTGCATTCAATTCATATTATTTAACAAATATAACTAAGTATTTTTCAATACCATGAAATTTAAATTGTGCATTTAAATTTTTTTTTTTTTAATTGAGGTAAACATCCAGCTCATCACCAGTCTTAGTCTTAGTGATCGCTATTGGTTCACATTTGTGTATTTACAAAACAAGAGCACTGGCCACATGGTGAAAGATTCTAAAAAATGGGTAATTCCCAGGAACCCACGACAAATCCAGGACAGCAGACAATGCATCTGAATACACAACGTATGATAGCGACATCTGGCCAATCCAGTAAAAGCCTTATCGCAGGCAATGTCAGTGTGTCTACCTATGTGCACTGTTTCCTATCTTCACCCTATAGTCCACTGACTGCCACCAGTGGCAACAACAATCTTGTTAAGTAAAAAGTTGCAAGTTTCTATGGCATTGTGTAACTGATAATCAACAATTAGTAAAATCCTTTGTTCGATTAAAAAAATTCCACATGAGGTAAATGTACAAATGTGTTGTGTACAGTCTACAATCTATAATCATTTTAACATGTCAAATGTAAAAAATTGGTAGTAAAATAATTAAGTTGCCTTACAATTAAAAAATATTGGATTTTGCAGCAACACTTATGTCCTGAAGAGCGATCTAAGTTCATCATCAGGTTGTGTCTGCCAAATTTGATTGACAAGTCTGCAAACCAATCAGCATTTATAAACACTTCATCATCTCCCGCCCCTTTTTTTCGTGTTTGATGGGAAACCATTGTGAAAAAATGACTTCCATTAAATAATGACACTAAAAGACCGACATCGGTCAATGTTTCGCAACATTTGCGACAACACCCAACGCCTTGTAGCGCCTGTGTTTACAAAAAACAAACAGCCGTTCATGTAACACGAATCCTGCCGAGAGCCTGTGGCGTTAGCAGTGGTGATAGCATTAGCTTTGGTGCTCTGGTATAAGTGCGTTATTGTACATACATTCTTAGATTAGAACAGCGGAACCCTCTGACGTGTCCTGTTTACCTTAGTGCCATCCTTAGTGCTCGATAGCTCTCCTTTACCAGGACTGAGCAATTTCTTTGTAATTCCTTCTTCGAGAAGCTTGCGTGCCTCTTCCTCCATCCTGGTCAGAATCTCGGTTCTTGTGCCGGAGATATCGACGTTTGTCGAAGCTGTGTGCTTTAGCCGCATAGCTCCCTCTATGTGAAGACGGAAGAAACACAATCCGTTTTCTAGGTGTTTCGTTATTTAGTAAAAACTAAAACTTAATTGGAATACTTCATGGCCCTATTTAATTTTAATTTTTTTTTTTAGTTATTTAAAAAATAAAAAAAAGGTAATCTTTAACCACAATTTGTGAATTTGGTTCAGTTCAAACATCTTTATATGACCCACAATTGGCAATTACTTTTAACAGTAAGATGAAGATAATTAAAACGTAGATAATTATTTAGAAATATCATACATTTAAAAATAATATATTAAAATAAATAATTTGCAGCTTGCTTACGTTGGTACAACAAAAACAAACACATTAAATTTAAACAACTTTAGAAGGATAAATGTATCTAAGGTGTATTTTATAGTGTATACTTGTAAATTTAAAAAATAGCAAACAACACAAAACATATATATCTACTAATGACATGACGGCCAACTAAAAAGGATACTGCTGTGTGGAAGAATTCTTAGTGGATGAAGGACAGACAACATTGATTTTAAGGTGAAGGCTGAACACAGAGACCAAACACAGTGTAGACCAGTTCTACAGCAATGTCTCTAGCAGTCAGTGATACTTTTATGTATATTTTCCAATCAAATCAACACGCAGAACCATGAAGTTCTTTTTTGCAGTGACACTGACACTACTAGTTTACAAGGTTAACAGTGAGAAAATACATACCCCACGCTCCAACTATAAGGCCAGAACTGATGGCAACTGATTGTGTAAAAAAAAAGAAGATCACAAGGCTACATTAAAAAACAATCAGCCTTTTAATTGCAAATTCACAGTCATCATTCACACAATGAAACACAGGTTAAAACAATGTCCTTCTCTTCATGCTTCTACACAATAGTGTCAGTTCATAATGTAGAAACACACTCTAGACACTGAGTGGTTAAATTAGTGGTCATGACAATGACAAGAAAAAAACAACATAAAGCATGTAACAATTAAATACTGGTGTAATGTGTGACAAAATCACAGCGAGTGGAAATGTAGTTAAAAAGTTGTGTCATTTTTCAAAGTAAGGCAGGTAGAACAGTTTGAAGCCTCTTCTTCCCCGGACAGCACAGCTGATGTAAATCACATGATAAACTACAAAAGAAAAACACAGATGTAAGAACAAAAACAGTACACGTTTGTTTGTCTGACCAAAGGCCATGCGAAATGAGTTAAAGGGGCAGATCCTACATTTACCTCCAGGGATGAAGAGAAGAAATCCAGGGACAAAGAATATCGCACTTGACACTCCTTAAAAGACAGTTTTAGTTTAGCATTTCAAGTGAAAGACTGATATATTCATAACATGGTTTGTGTTTTATTTTTATTTAAAAAAACAAAACAAAAATTACCTGCATTCGGATTCAGCTGTATGATAACACCTGTAACAATAAGGGCTACAAAAAAGAAAAGAATAGAATTCCAGAAATATAACTGTCTGTTTACAGGTTCAAAAGTATGAGCCCATTTATCAACTGTATTTAAATTAAAACATTGTTATTAAAAAGTTCAGTAAAATTGACTGTCAACTATGTTTGGTTCTTTGTTTGAGCTTTTCTAAATACAACAATATGTAAGACAGGGCCAAAATAAGACTAAAACAGCCACACAAGCAACACTCTTATAACCTTGGAAAACATATTAATATAAGATGCCAAATGAAGACCAAGAAAAATATAATCAATATTTTGTATTTTACATCATTCTAAAATATCTACATTTTCAGGATTGCCAGCTGCTACAACTAGCTTTTGTTTAGAAAATATTTCCAAAATAAATAAAACCGTAATCACTGCTCTATAACAATTGTTAAACACTATGTGTAAAAGACTCACCAAGCCCAAAGATTAGGAGAAGAAAGGAGGCCAGGACGACTCTTCTATTTTTCTTCACTAGTGGATGGGACACCCACCTGAGCAACAAAAACGTTGAAAAAAAAAAAAAACCCCAACTGTCTTTGTTGCTGTTTGTATGTGTTAGTGTGAGTTTGCCACTTACCCGCAGCAGTGTGCAGAAAGCTGCGTGACAGAACTCAGTGTGCTGAAGGACCACTGAGAGCTGCAGTATGACAGGGTGGACGGGTCACTGCAGAGAGAAGAAACTGTTGCCAAATCATAATGGACGGCATGAAAGCAAGAGGAAAAGAGACGGGAACATCAACAGTTCTGCTCTTCTGAGAAGGTGTTCCCAGAGAGATGGGGTCTATTGAGATTTTTAATGGGTTTGGGAGCAGGCTAGTCACCTGCATTTAATTGAGAGTGTCACTAACATTTTTTAAAAAGCCATCCAACTGAAGACATGCATGGTTTTATGCATATTATTAAATAACTAAATACATCTTGAAAGTATAAATTTGAGCTAATGGTTTGTAGCTGAAATTTGACGATTGTGGTCCACTGTTTGCTCTACTTTTCTTAGGATATTCCAGCTTCATATTACACACTAGTCATTCATCTTTCAAAATGTGTTTGCTATTTAAAGAACTTGGGAAACTATAGGACTTACCTGATTTTGAAGATGTTGTTAAAGGAGGAAGTACCGTTACTTCCAAAGGCCTCTTCATTTTCCAGATTCTAAAGGAAGGGAGATGATGAAAAACCATTTAGGTTGTTTTGTCTTAACGTTGTTAGAGAAGCTGCATTTTTACCTGGTACTTCAGGTTACTGTGGTCCTGGGAGCTGGTGGTAACAGGCAGTGGATGAGTCTGAGGTTTAGAAAAGGTGAGAGGACCAAACGTCATCTCTGCCCCATCTCTGTCGATGTCTCGACCTGTCCATCTTTCCGTCTCACCATCAGACGTGCCTCCCTCCTCATCTCCCTCCAACACAAAGGCATCGTCTATGCTGAATTGTGCTGCCATAGCGATTGCCTTTTTAAGCCCTGAGCTCCTGTGGTTTGATATTCACTGAGTAAAAGGAGAATAAAATGTGTGATCTCAAACATACAGTTAGCAAAGAGATCTTGGTTATTGAATCTATAGATTATACAAACGTTTTTTGTTTTGTTTTTTCAAACACAACCGACAACAAAAATATTTGTATGATCCCTAATTACTTTATGTCTCATCGTGTTTTCAAAAACAGAGCAATTAAGTGCTTTCACATCATGTAAAATTGCTTTGGTAGGAGTGGGATTGCATCAATAATTAGCAATAAGCCACGTCCTGTGGTCTGACGTGATGATGACAAAGTTAAAGCTATTGTCCACCAGAGTGGACAATAGTTTGAAAGGCAAGATTGAGACGGTTCAAATAAACAAAAACAAAGAATGATGGGGAAATTAAGCAGTGACAGAGAACGTTTCTAAAGGAGGCTAGTCAAATGCGATCGGGATGAGATGGAGACACATGATCTGCTGTTTCTCTGGACAAAACATTAGAGTTACGTTAAAATGAGAAGCGGTTTCTTTTAATATTGTACGGTTAAGTTAAGTAATCCAAAATCCCACTGCAAAAAAAGTTTTTCAAAAACAAAACCCAAAGTACATTTTCAAACAGTCACAGCGAACAGACAGATATGAGAAGAGAGGAGAGATGAAAACGAACGGACGGCTAACAGTCTCTGCTGTCGCTCTCTGCCATTGTTAGTGCTCTTTCCGCTGGTCGATCAGATGACCGGGAGGGAAACTTACTTACTGTCTTTGGCTAAATCTTTTCTTCCAGCGAAGACAACTTTGAATCCAGGTGATTCACAGACTGATTACATATTGTAAAACGTCACTGTAATCCTAAACGGAGGCTTTCCATTAGGCTTTGGCGTGCTTCCAAAAGAAAAAAAGTCTAAAAGTTTTGGATCCTTCTCTTTTCCTTTTATTTTACTCTCGGCAGTTGATTGCTTCCGACTGAGTACGCCCAGTAAAGTTCTATAATTGTATGTAAGGATTTTTAATCGAGGGTCGATTTTTCGATGGGAGTTTGTTTTTCCAAAACAAATGTTTAACAGAATAATCACGTTTATATATATGTATATGTATATATATATATATATTTGGGATTCATAAAAATACATTACTGCTTTGTCTCCCTTTGGGTGAAAAGGTTAAAGGTCAAAACCTGACGATCTTTATTATTGTTATTATTCAGGATCTTCGTAGTTTTTCCGTTTTGATTAAATGCATACAATTTTAACAATTTAGTAAAACATCACAATCTACATTATGGGTTGTGATTTTGTAAATTTACATCAAGTAAGTGGTTATTATCACCAGTATATTAACTGAACACCCTCTCTTTTTGTAGGTAATATGCTATTTAATAGACGCCACACAAGCACTGAAACTTCATTTTATTTTGAGTAGTTACACAAAGCCACCACATGATGGCAGTCGTATTGTGTGATTGACATTGAATGTTATTATACAGACAGTAGTAAAAATCTCATTTCACTTCCATCTTAGGTCTCTGATAACCTCATCACAGATATCAGTTAAAGAAATAAAAGTGTCAAAGTATGTGACAGTAAAGGTTTTGATTTATAGCAAACAATTGCTTGGTTAATCAGAACAAATGAGCAAAAATACCCTGAATTGTTGTAGTCACAAATGAACATACAAACAAACAAACGAAGAAACGGACAAACACCAACGGTTAGAGACTGAATGTTGCCACAGGCTGTACACACAGACATTCAGAATGATCAGCTATGGTTGCACTCTATTAATCAAGCTGATGATAATCACTAAACATGCAGCTGTATAGCAGTTAAAATGATCACATAAGCACAGCAGGGTCAACAGAGAAGAGCCAGAAAATTCCTATGATTGTAAACAAAACCAACAGATCCAGAGAGAAACATGACCTCTATTAGATCACTGTCACCTAGCCTAACCTCGAACAGTGCATTCCCAGAAATGTATCATTGCTGCTTGTATAACATGACAACGCCATTGATTTGGTTTGAGTATCTCACTGCTGTCATGCCGGGAGTATAAATGTGCATAGAGAAAGTACAGAATAACTTTAATCTTTTGTCCAAGACTTGTCAAAAAAAAAAGGCTTTCAGAAAATGTGTTTACGCCTTTTTTTGTGTTTGTTTGTTTGTTTAGATGAATTCCAAGCTTTCATAACACCTCAGCCCTTTTCATCTAAGCCTAATTAAACACTGAAGGCTCCAGTTTTTGCATTCAGCGTTGAGTCATTCACAAGGTTGTAGAAGGACACCATGAAATGAGCAATCTTGGTGATTAAACAGTTAGAATAGTACTGGAGGCCACTGACTGGCTGTGAGAATGCTTTAGTGAACACGTGTTAAACCAAAGCTGTAGTAATACTGGAATCCAGGGAATGTATTTAATATTCAGAAGCGCATTCAGACAAGTCAGCAACAAGCTGTCGCTGACATTCAGCATCAATATCTTGGCCCCAGGATCGTGTGAGTGTGTGTGTGTGTGTGTGTGTGTGGGAGGGTACAATGTCTTCATCTACACTCTGCTAAGTGCACTCATACGTTTGCAGGAATGGAAACTCCACCTCATGCATCTCCCTTGCCTCCAAATAATGAATATACTTCATCAACAGAAATCAATTGAATACACACAACCAGGCTGCATTACTTCATGGTTTTCCCACAAGTACTACCTTGTACTACAGTAAGTCAGAAGCACTGATATTTTCCTGAAATTGAGGGAACACTTCCTTCTTTCTCTCACCAATCTCCTGCCAGTAACATACATTATTAGTCTGTAGTTGTGTTGCTATGATAATTACGTACCAATAATTCTAAAAAGTCTCACTTTTGTGAAAAATTAGCAGTGAGTTTTTCGGTGTTGCTAAACTATGAATCCTAACTTTCCCCAGTTGTAGTTTGTCATAAGCAGATTAATTTAGTGCACACCCCAAATATTTGAAAATTACTTTTACTCTTGCACATAATCTGTGTGTTACTGGTACGATTAACAAAAACAAACAATTTTTAATAAAATGTGTTCATTATGAGTGTTAAAAACCAATAATAAGGGGTTATATTTACATCATTAGCTTTTCCGGTTGCCATATAACTGAGTTACGCGTTGGTAGATCGCAAAGTTTGGCACACCACTGAGGGCTGGTTAGTGTTCTCCATCAGAAACATACTGTATACGTATAAACCACTGGAACCTGCGGTGATGGTGGTGATGGAGATTGATTCTCTTTTTCTGTGTTAAATGAACTTCACTCCTCTGTGCTTCAATAGAATTGTATGAAGACCATGGAACATGACGTGAATACAAAGACAAAACACACAGACTGTAAATGGAGGCACGTGTATTCCCATAGTCCAGACACACACACATACACACACACACAAAGATGCAATGACATACAGAGAACCACAGTCACTTCAGATGACTGACAGACATGGGAACAAGAACACTGACACATTAAAGGTTTAAATCCACTAAATGGATCATTTTGTGCTTTATATTATGATGTGTTGTTTTGCATCGGATCAGCAACCACTAAAACAGAGACTGCCCAGAACAGAATCCACCTTTTTATGATACTTCTGCTCTAAATACCACATCAAGAGTCACTAGGGTCCACATAGTGTCGGCCCCTAATTAACAGGTGCAAATTTAAATGACAAATTATGAACATCTTCCACAGTACGACAAGGTCTAACGCACATTTTTGTGATTATTGTATTTATCACATTAACACTTGGATGAAGACATTTTCACAATTTGGTTCATCTTTAAAAAAGTTCAGAACAGACCCTTTTTTTTACCATCACTAATGTCATATAGTAGAAGTTAGTGCTTAAGCTACTGTCACTGAGTGACAGGTTATTATTATTAATAATATTATATTATTATTATTATTGCATGTTTTATCTTTTGCTATTATTACTGATTGAACTGGTCTGTTTT